AGGGAAGTGCGGAACACTCACGATGCAACACAGAGACCTTGAAGTTGTATGGAATTTAATGTGGGAATGATTTGATTGTAGAACTATAAATTATTATGTACTAGTTTTAATAAAATTAAGGATTTTTATATTTTAAAAAGTGAATGATTATTTGCTCCTCAGACTATACTGAATAAAAATGTTATTAAATTCAATGCTTGAGTGTATCTCATCTTGAGATTTAAAGTATGTTATTTAATATTCATTCTAAAGTCCACTGTACTCTTAATTTGGGGGGGGGTATCATTTATCTATCTATATAATAAATTTCTGGGTCGAGGTGTAATCCTCTTAATTTACAAAAATAAAGGCAACTGTCTTTGCAAATGTCTTTTGGTCTAAAAAACTAATTCATTATTGGTTGCATTTTTCTATAATTGCAGTTGCCTTTTGAAATTGACATTGTATAAAATCAATATTTGCACTGGTGCAATAGATGACCCCACTCGTTTGGTTTTTGGAAAATTTTTGGAGTTTATTAATGAACCGTTTTTATGTCACCAAAATGAGCTCCAAAACAACGATAATTTCAATAAATAATATTAACCTTGATAGCTATATTAAATATTCAGTGATTTAATTAGAGAACAAATTATTCCATATATTACAAATTTTTCTGACTATGGGCGTTGTGAAACTTCAACAATGTATATCATAATAGTGTTTTCTTCCTCTAACATTTCATCGCGGGTTTTTTTTCCATATCGGTGGGTCCAACCAACTGATATGAAGAGAGAGCATTATTTTCTGGGAGGAATTTTAGTGATAATTGCCCCAAATATGCGAGCCGTATTGGAGAAAAAGTAAAAAAGATCCAACCAGGTAAATTGATTCTCGATTCGAGCTGTCTAAATCACCATTGATTCTTCTCCCTTTTGAAAGCAGTGACTACAACTGATATATCCAGCAGATTTCAACCAGAGCATTTCTTCACGCTAGCTGCATATCATTACAAACAAAAACAGGAATTGGACGGAGATGTTGAATCGCAAGTGATTTTGATTATAATACATTAGACATTATAATAAGATCTTTTAGAGATTTGGGTGTTCCTTCGCAGATGCAGATATTTTTCATATTCTTATTTTCTATAGTTCATTGGAATTGCAGTAAGATATAATGACCAATCAAAGAATCTCGAGATCTTTATAATTTAACTTAAAAAAAAATGGCGCAAAGAGTTATCTAAACGGGATATTATCTAATGGGTCGAAAATCGGTAGATGGGATGTATGTGTACAGTAAAAGAAAACTCAAACTTTCAGAAGAATTATAAATTTCATTCGGGATATACAGATAAGTACATTGAACCAATCACTAATGAATTCGCCCATCTTTGATTTTAATGCAGACTGATTCGTTAAGTTGACAAATGTCTCTCTACGGTATTTCTTTTCAAACTCTCTCCCTTTCACGAGTTAGATTAGATCTTAGGACAGTTGTAGACGAACTCTCATCAAATCCCAAAATGCTTTATTTGGGAGAGATCTGGCGACCTAGCTGTTCAGGAAAGTATTTCACAAGCACGAAGATAATCGGCAGAAATGATTGCCGTGTGCGACCGGGTATTAGATTGACGAAATGCAAGTCCGGGGTCCTGTGGCAAAACGTGTAACATCGATGAAGTACCCCCGTGTTTTAAAGATGTCATGACTGCCAATCAAAGGGGTCCAAATGGCGCTCTATCAATGATCAATCTATCATGAGTACTATCAAATGATATGGCACTCCGAAACATAATCTCCATTTGTCGGACTGTGTGGTGAGTGCCAGCCAGATTCAATTAATAAAAACCGTGAGCTGAGATCCTGTTCTCTAAGTCAACTTTCAGTGGTCCTTTCAGTCACTGGAGTCTCGTTTGCATGTCGAATTATTTAGTCGTATCGAATGTTTATTATTAGATATGTCTTCGGGATTCTTCTCCAAAAATAATATTTCGTCCATCAAATATACAATGTTGAATGCTCAAGATTCAATAGAATCCAACTCAACCTTTTGGTAATGAATTTCTTGCTTTGTCTGACTTGTAGGAGACACCATCCACGTTAATCAATTTTTTTTGTCGCATATTAGTTTTATGCCGTATATTTAAAATTCGTTTTGTGCCACATTTCATCTTATTTTATTCAGTATCTTTTACTTGCTTTTTAACTGAAAATGTTTAACATAAGCAATTTTAATTGATTTTATAATTATCCTTTTTTTATAATTCCATTCTGAAATGCTACCCTTTCTTTGGCTAAGCCTGGCCAAAATTGACCCTTGTGATATAAAACATAACCTACCTACCTCCCAAAAATTCTCTATAATCTATAAGCACCATGGAAAAAGTTTTATCAATGGAAACTGTGTTGCTGTTGTTGTTGTTGCTTATCCCCTTGATTTAGAATCCTAAACCAAGTCCAGTAGATCATGCTGCATCAATAGATAGTAAACGGTCCTCCGCTCATTCAACAGTTGCCTCACAGAGGCACCAATACAATCGATGAGATGAGAGGGAGACGCGATGGCCGAACAATGACAAAGAGTAAATGTCTTCTTGTCTCCATTGAAGGTCAAACTCTTAGTGTGGCTAGTCCTTAGTCTAGCTAAAGCCGTTTGAGCAGATCTAGGACAAGAGCACTACAAGGACATACCAGGATATTTAGCGGCGTATTGGTGGCGACTTCCAAGCGGGAGTGTAAAATGAATAAATGAGTCAGATGGTGGATTGCATAACTCCAAAGCTTTTGTTTAATAAACGACAGAAAAGAACTTCATAAATGTGGAGCGTCTTAAATGTTTCAATTTAGTTCAGTCATTCATCCATGAAATACCTTTCTTGTGTAATTTGTAAGAATTATTTCAGATTACATGTCGGTTCTAAATTATCATACATAGGTTATTCTAGTCTTCTGATTTGTTATTGATTTTACGGATATCTATAGTAAATACAAATGCGTTAAATTCACCACAATAACAATTTTCTATAAAATAAATTATAGTTCTAAAAAAAACTAAAAAACACGCTTTTAGAGTTAATCAAACTAAAAAGTAAAAAATAATTGTTAACATAAGAATAAAATTACTGACCAGAAAATGAATGTCACTGTTTTAAAAGCGTGGGGTGCTTTGTATGACATTTTTAAACTAACTCTGCATTTCGGAATGAAACTAGTGGAAAATTATAACGATTGATATCGAGCACCCCACGCTTTTAGAACAGTGACATTAATTTTCTCGTCAGTAATTTTATTTTTATGTTAACAATTATTTTTTACTTTTTAGTTTGATTAACTCTAAAAGCGTGTTTTTTAGTTTTTAAAAACTATAATTTATTTTTTACTTTGATTAACTCTAAAAGCGTGTTTTTAAACTATAATATTTAAATGAGGTCCCGGTACGGAGCAGTGGAACTATAGTTCTTACAATAATTTAATTGTGAGTAAAACAAAGGTTAAATGCGAATCAGCGAGGATTCGAACAGGGAATCACCTGATCCCTAGTCAGGCGCGTTATCCGTTGTACCACTGTCCCACGTAGGTTTGAATGTCTTAGGTACTTTCATTCTACATGGGTTAAATTGTTCTTCATAAGTTAAAATAAAATCACTAATCCTGACTATCCTAATAATGATGAGATAATAAACTATCAAAATATTTTATTGTCGTCTGTCCTTGATAAGTCTACAACATTTAAATTAAATCTGATCGCTTAAAGTAGGGCAAAATCGGACCCAAAGAGTCAGTTACAAACAAACATACAGGTAAAACTAATAAAAGCGTATTAAAAATGAGTTAATATGCAATAACTAACAGTTTCGATGCTGAAATCATGAAACAAAATAAAATCGTGATATAACCGACGAATTTATTTAAGTTCTAATAATTAAATTTTTAGTAGTTGTAATTTTTAATTATTAAATGAGATTTGACAATAAAAGATACAGTTTTAAACAAGTTACAAATATAGAATTACTTTTACCTACTGAACATCAACTTCTTCTGCTTCTTCTTCTTCATTGACGCTACAGCCCCATGGGGAGCCAAGACCGTCTGCCCACTGGCAGATTTCGAGACTGGAGATGCTTTCATTTTTTAGAAGTAGGGTTGTCAGCCGCCTCTACAGTCATATTAGACGGGAACCTACTGTTTAAAGTGGATTCCGAACCACTATGAACACCTATGGAACCGCCGGAGCTCCAACCCGAAATCTGTGGCACCGAGAGCTAGCTACTAGGCAATCACGCCCCACATTAATTTCCCATCATCATCATCATCAGTGGCGTAATAGCTCCATGATGGGCCTATGCCGTTTGCCTACTGGAAAATTTCGAGACGGGAGACATTTTCATTTTTACGGGGTAGGTTTGTCAGCCCTGCAACCCAACGCTCTACAGTCATATTAAACCGGGACCTATAGTTTAAAGTGGATTCGGAACCACTATAAACATCCATGGCACCGCAGGGACTCGAATTCTGAGGCTCCGAGCGTCAAAGCGCTAGTCGCTCGGACATCAGCCCCCCACATTAACTTCTACCTAAGTTAAATTTAAAAAAAAAAAATTTATAAAATCGTCCTTGTATGAATTTTTTATGTATAAAAAAAGCGAAATATCTATATATAATACATATGCGAAATATCTTAACACACGATATAACGAGGTACGATGGGATGATACATATATCATGTTGTTGTTGTTGTTGTTTCTTATCCCACTTGGCTGGCCAAGCCCACGAGCCCATACGTACTCATGATTGAAGGGGAAGGAAGCAGCTTCTGTTGTGATGGAGCACTCGTAGGTAGAAGCCTGACTTTTGCTCCGTGACGCTCTTACAGTCATAGGAGACTGGGACCTACAGCTTAAAGTGGATTCCGAACCACTACAAACATCCATGGCACCGCCGGGATTCGAACCCGAAACCTATGGCACCGAGCGCCAGAGCGCTAGACACTCGGCCATTCAGGTCCCAAATTTTGCCAACGGCACGCGGTGTTCCCAGGTGGTCACCCACCCAAGTACTGACCGCGCCCAATGATGCTTGACTTCGGTGATCTAACGAGAACAACATTTATATCATTACCCATGATAATAAATGTTGTGTCCATGATATCACGAGGATATTAGTGCGATGTTATTTCTATTTATATTAAAAGAGTTAAATCCATTCTACATTATCCTCTATTTTCATTTCATCTGTGTGTTTAATATTCGTGGTAGTTGATTTAAATAATACTGATACACTTGTATAACCTTAGAAATTTTTAAACCATGCATTATACATTTATTTTACGGAAAACATATTTTTCTTTTCCAAAACTCTTCCATCTGCTTTAGTAAATTTTTTGAATTTACATCGAAAACACTTTCACGAATAGCATTAATTCTTCACGAATAGCATTAATTAATTCATGAATAGCATTAATTCTTCTCGTATACCACTAATTTTAAACATGTTTTAAATCATATTTTTTTCCAAAACAAATTAGGTACACAGCCTTTACGCTGAATTTATCAAAACGCTTTTTTAAAAAAAAATTCATATTGCTATTGTTTCTTATCTTTGACAATAGCTGAATATTTATCTTAATTTTTTCACATTGTTTGTACAATGAACTTACGCTTGTATTTGAAGCTAAAATTTAATATTTTTCGTTTAAAAAAAAAGGTTTCATAAAAGACGTATAAAAAATGGTAACGGCTATTAATCTAGAAGGAAGATAAGTAATGTAGTTAAACGATAAAAAAAAAACGTAGAATAAAATACGCAGCAGTGTTTGATAAAGAACGTTATCATTTTTCGAATATTTATCACGCACAAATGTAATTAAATCGGCTTTGTTCGTTGTAAACCGTTATTTCTGGATGGGTATTTTTGCTCAGAAAGAAAATTCATGTTTTACACTTAATTATATTTCAGAATGCTGAGGGTTTTAAAAAATAATACGTTGATCTAACTGATCATGAACCTATTATTACCGGAGATATCGACATCAAATCTATATTTTTTGATAATAAACTCCTCTCTCATTCTTGTTTAATTATTCTACTTTTGCGAAATCGTAGCATTAATAATAATAATAATGATGATGATGATAATAATAACAATATTTTCAATGATATTACAGTCAATCAATCGAATTTTCATTGTGTCAATCAGATCCTCTCTAACGAATTCTCCTGTTATCAATCAACTACTTATAAGGATAATAAGACGTGGCATTTTTATGAGAAGTGACGAGAAGGCGAAAAAATGTATCCTTATCAGTATCTAACTTCTAATTAATTAAAAAGTTTAAAGTATGATATAAAGTTTAACATATTTTACACTTAATTATATTTCAAAATGCTGAGGTTTTTAATAAGTAATATGTTAATCCAACTGATCACGAACCTATTGTTAACCGAGATATCGATATCAAATCTATATTCTTTGGTAATAAACTAATCTCCCATTCTTGTTTAATTATTCTGCTTTTACGAAAGCGTAGTATTAATTATTATTATTAATAATAATAATAATAGTATTGTCAATGATATTGTAAAAAATCAATCGAATTTTCATTGTGTTTATCAGATTCTCTCAAACGAATTATCTTGTTCTCAATCAATTACTTATAAGGATAATGCGATGTGACATTTTTATGAGACGTGACGAGAAGGCGAAAAAAAAATTATTCTTTTTAGTATAAAAAAGTCTATTCTAATTAATTATTAAATTATTAAATTCTAATTAATTAAAACGTTTAAAGTATTATAAAGATTCTCATTTAAAAGCTTCATGTACTTTCAGAACTATTTTATATTTAAAGAAAATTTTTACATTGTCCATCTAAAAAATTAAGCATTTTTCCACAATCTGTTGTTGTAGTGTCTAATCTTCAGTGTCCTGCATTTCGGGACGAACGTCCCAAGAGTATTACGCAAATGAACAGGATTTAGTTAAGAAAACCATGTACGAAAATCAGGGGTTAATGAGTCCAAGTTCTAAAATGTTCGTTTTTGGATACTATTAAATTTCGTGATAATTGTGAAAAAATAAGTACATCAACATATATAACCTTTTCTGAGCCTTACAAGTTTATTGACAATGTGGTGAACTAGTTTTTTTAGATATTTTAATTTCTTTGAAATGCAAACCACAAACTAATATTTAATCTTTAAGATATTCTATTCACAGTTTTCGGCATTTGCCTTAATGTTCTTTTCCACACAATATTTGCACTGAAAGGTTACATTAGCAGACTAAAATTGTCTGCTTTCTAAGAATTAATATAGGAAAGCATAGTTGCAACAATGCAAATAGAGACGCAGAATGAGACCTAGAAAATTTAATTGTCCATTATTCCATTGTTCAGAAGTTATTCAATTTATTGCTTCCCCTCAATTTAGATTTGGCCTTAATGCTATATACCTATTTTTTGCTTGATTTGAGGACAAGTGACACCTTACTTCCGTGTAGAAAGAGACGTTCTTTTTTTATGTCAAGACTTTCGCCGTTTTTCTGCCTGGCCTAATTTAGTTTAAAGGTAGATGCGCGCGGGGCCTGAATGGCCGAGTGGCTGGCGCTCGGTACCACAGGTTTCGGGTTCGAGTCCCGGCGGTGCCATGGTTGTTTGTAGTGGTTCGGAATCCCCTTTAAAAAGTAGGTCCCGGTCTAATAGGATCGTAGAGCGTTGTGGAGGCATTGTTACTCCGCGTCCGTGGCTTATCTTTAAGTTACACGCGCCCCCTGGGTAATGCAAAGTGAGTACGTCTGTGCAGCACTTGCCTTAAGGCATCCAAAGACCAAGCTGTCTATGTTTGCCAGCTGCATTAGAAAGAAAGGTAGATGCGTTATCGATTCATTCTTTATAAAAAAGAAAATCTATGAAACATTAAGTATATTTTCCTATAGTTTGTTTTCAAATTTCATGGATAGTTATCTATGTAATACATCTTTAAGTCAAAACTTCCTAATTACAAGATGGTCTATTCATTAGGATGCTATCTATAGTTGGTATTCAACTCTCGCGAAGCATTTTAAGGATAAGAACGTTCGGTGATGACAGATTCGATAGAATAAAAGTACTGTTTATAGCCAGATTTCAGAGTGAAAATGATTGACGAGAACGTAATTACTTTTCTATAAAAATATTACAAATTTCTATAAAAATAAATAAATTTTTATAAAAATATTAAACAAAGAAAAGAAAAAAATTAAATTTTGCTTATTAATTTTTAAGAAAATTTTTATAAAAAATTTTCTATAAAAATATTTAAAAAAAGAAAAGGAAAAAATTTAATTTTTTTAATTAATTTTTTAAAATTTGGTTTCTTTAATTTTTAAGAAATTTTTTAAAATTTTCTATAAATATATTAAAAAATTCCTACATATAAATTTATTATAAATATATAAATTTTATAAATATATATTTTTAATATATTATAATATATATAAATATAATTATTATACATATATATAAACTATATAAATTTTCTATACACATTATTAAAAATTGTTTTTGGTTTCATTCATGGCATAATATCGGTTTCTTATATAAAAAAAAAATTTTAATCATCTAACTATCAATTGATCACCCAAAAGAAATGTATTTGATGTAGGAGATTTTTTTTTTAATTATTTCACTGGGTATCGTATAACCAATAACTTTTTTTTACAATTTGATAATATCCTGCATTCTTTTAGAGATACATCTGTCTATTATCACTGGTCTATTGAATCATTCCAATACTATGAATGTTTTTAAAAATCAAATGCAAATCATAATAACATAGAAAACTTTTTAAAACTAATGCTGATGTAAAAAAGGGCTAGGCTTTATCAATGTTCTTATCCTTCCAGGATAATATCTTATCTTTCCAGGATAAGAACGTTCGTTAATGACTGATTCGATAGAAAAAAGTACTGTGTATAGCCAGATTTCAGGCTGGAAATTATCGATAACTAGGCAGAAAACATAATCACTTTTCTATAAAAATATTTTTATTTCGAATTGTTTTGGATTCATTTATGCCATAATATCGGTTTCTTATGTAAATAATTTTTTTAATCATCTAACAATCAACTGATCACTCAAAGGATATGTATTTAATGTAGGAGTTTTTTAAATTATTTAATAGAGTATCGCATAACCAATAACTTTTTACATTTTGATAATATGCTGCATTTTTTTAAGGATACGTCTATTATCATTGATCTATTGAATTATTCCAGTACTATGAAGGCTTTTTAAAATCGAATGCAAACCATAATAACGAAGAAAATGTTTAAAAACTAATGTTTGATATCCTTTAAAGAGCTTAAATTGATATTAAAATTCCACAACAAACAGTTGATAACAATAAAAAAGTTTTATTGTTTATTCACATAGATAATCTGTGTACTAGAATAAGTTGCGACATATACTTTGATAAAAGTATTCTTTCTACAAAGATACCATAATCATATCGAATTAAATGTCATTTCAATCTATAAATAAAACAATATCAAGGTGAATTTCGTTGCAGAGTTTAATTGATAAAATCTTCTTTACCGTGCAAATATTAAATTAGTGACATTAAAATATTACCAAACTGTGAATGTTTTATTCTTAAGAGACAGAGATACTATAGTGTATATAATTAAAGAAACTAAATTAAAAAAAAAAAAAACAATTTATTTTCATATGAAAAAATCAATACGTCAAAATATTTTTTGAACATTGAATTTTCTGGCATTTAATGTTACTTCAAGTATTCATATTGTTTATAAATTATGCCAGGTATAAACGGTTATTACTTTATAAAAAAAGTTTTATAATTTTCCTCACGTTTTCTGTCCATAAAACAGCAATAATAAATTTAGAATAGCAAAAGTTCTTAGCAAACAAAATTAAGCAAATTTCAAATGTTTTTTAAAAAATTGTTTCAAGCATTAAGCAATATTGTATTCAGACATTTATATTGCTTTAATAACCTGAATGCCTGATTATTTTTAAAACATTGAATTTTGTGACATTTAATGTTACTTCAGGTATTCAACACTATTGTAATATACATAAATTGCACCCGATATAGACGGTAA